AGCTAAATTTTCTTAATCTGTCACCAATTAAACCGTATTGGATAAAAAGTGATGCTCTCTTATAGCTTCCTACTGATATTTTTTGTTGTCAGTTATAGCATGAAGCAACACTTGTGCATGCATTATAACCAGACTTGGAGACATTTGCATCAGCCTCTTGCAAAACCTGTTCTATTTATTTAGTTCTTTAATTTAGGGGATTTCACTGGTGCTTGTGGGCAGCTGAGTAATAGGCGAACTGTATTTATTGTTAAAAGCACTATGCCAATACATTTAAAGGGATAGGTCTGCTCACACTCAAGTTGTTCCAAACCTGTATGGGTTTCTTTCTTTTGCTGAACACAAAAGATGATATTTTGAAGAATGTGAGTAACCAAAGAGTTTCTGGTCCCCATTGACATCCATAGTATTTTTTTCATACTATGGACGTCAATGGGGACCAGCAATTGTCCCTTTAAATGTCCTCTATAATATTCTAATACCGAGTAGAAAAAAAACTATTTTAGGTGAACATTTGGGTGGCATTATGCAAATATTTCCACATAGTGAGGTAGATATGTGGGGGCGTGTTAGAACGAGCCGTTTTAGGGGGGCGTGGCAGAGTCTTAACTTTGATAAAGAATATCTCTTTGGTTTTGAGACTTTAGTCTTTGCAACTTCAGGGATCTTATCTATGCACAATCAGCTTGTAACCCTCCAAAGAGAAAGGAAAACTTGAAATCGCATCATATGACCCCTTTAACAAATGAAAATAACATCTAGACGGGATTCTGTTTTTCCAGCTTAGAAACACGAATCAGATTCCTGATTGTCAGAAGCAACGTCCTTTTCATCATCAACCAAATCATTGGCTGGATTTACTTCCTGGCCTGGTCTGTGTCGTTCTACCCGCAGGCGTATGAGAACTGGAAACGACGAAGGTATGAGATAATCTTTGAGACTCGAGGATTTAGACTGAATAAAAAAAGCTAATGAATAACATGCATGTTTTGTTTCATGCAGTGTGGTAGGCCTCAGTTTTGATTTCCTCGCTCTCAACCTGACTGGATTCTTCGCTTACAGTGTGTTCAACATTGGCCTGTTCTGGGTGACGTATATGCAGGTGTGTGCACTCGACAGCTTTCAGGTTGTAGTTTTTCAGTCCAGTCTTCTGCAGCATTCTTTTTACTGACAGTGGTCTGGGACATTACTGGGATAGAAGTATTTCTGCAGAAAAATCACACATTTAAAGGATTTAGTGCTAGCTGAACTAAAGCTGTGTCTTTAGCTTTTGTTTAATAGAGTTTATTTTGAATGGAGATGATAAATGGTGCATCTATAGGAGGAGTTCTTGAAGAAAGATCCAAATGGGGTCATTCCTGTCGATGCTAATGACGTCTTCTTCAGTCTTCATGCATTACTTCTCACTCTCGTCTATATCTGCCAGTGTGCCATCTATGAGGTAAATGTTGAAGCATTACTGTGTAAATCGTCTTAATAATGATAATGTTATTATACACGCACACATATATAAAAATTTTAATGTATGGGGTCAGTAAGATTTTTTTTTGAAAGAAATTAATTATTTTATTCAGTATTCAGCACTAAATAAAAAAATGAGTTTTGAAAAAAAAAAAAAAAAAAATTTTTAAAAAAAAAAAAAAAAAAAAAAAAAAATGCTGTTTAAAAAAAAAACAAACTTTTTATTCATCAAAGAATCCTGAAAAAATGTCACATGTTCCGCAAGGTTTAAGTAGATGCTTTTTTTAAAAACATTAATAATAATCAGAAATGTTTCTTAAGCAGCAAATTACTGTTTTCTGAAGGATCATGAAGAATATTTCACAAAATTACTGGTTTTCATCAAATAAATGTAGATTTGGTGAGCATTAGAAATTTGTTGTTTCACTTAAAACTTAAAAACATCATACTGACCCCAAACTTTTGAATAGTAGTACATAACAATTGCATTGTTTCCTAAATTGCTTTTTTTTAATCATTTATTTATATAGAGAGGAGGGCAAAAGGTTTCCAAAATGGCCATTGGGTTATTAGCGATTGGCTGGACCTTTGCGTTTGTCTCCCTGTTTGTTGCTGTGGCACAGAAGATCTCCTGGCTGGATTATCTGTACTATTTCTCTTACATTAAACTGGGTGTCACACTTGTAAAGTACATCCCTCAGGTACAACTCTCCCATCTCACACCACCAAATGCATATGTTATCATTTACTCACCCACCCTGATATCATTCCAAACCTGACTTGAAAAAGTGCAGACCAAATTACTTCCTTGTTCCAATGAAATCCGAAAGGAAATGTTTATCAGATGTGTTTTTCCTACAAAGGAAAGTGCATGAGAACTGGGGCAAACGCCGAAAACAACATTTTATTATATTCAGAATGTTCGCCCTGTATTCTAGCACTCAGATCTTTTGCTTTCAGTTGCCAATATTCAGTGTGTTTTGAGAATCAAACCTGGCCTGATGTGTCTTTAGCCTCCATGTCTGAATTTTCACATGTGTGAAAGAAATTTGAGAGCCATGGGAGATTTGTATTCAGTGGAATAAAGAAAGTCATGATGGCTTGGAATGGTATGAGGATGAGTAATTAATGACAGAATTGTTCATTTTTGAGTGAACCATCCCTTTAAAAATAATGGCTTTGATGCAGTTCACTGGAATGCTAAACATAGATTTCACACTTCCACTTTTTAACAGTTTTGTACACTTGGTTATATTAGTGGTTTATAACAGTAGATTGAGAAGGTTTCAAATGAATCGGAATAAAAGCAATCCTCCTAATGTACTAAGAAACTGCAAAAAGTGTCCCAAAGCTTAGATTTTTGATTGAATTTTGGAGTAACATAATTTGTGTAACATGTATTGGGGATAAATATTAGAAATGGTTACGTTTGGATCAAATTTGATGCATAGGAAAAATTATGAAACATTAAATGATATATATGTATGTATATTGGATGTTGTTGATAACATACACTGGTGGCCAAAGGTTTGTAATAATTAAGATTTTTTTATGTTTTTGAAGTATGTATTTTATGCTCATCAAGGCTGCATTTATTTGATCAAAAATTAAATTTATTTGATTTAGGGATGTTCATTTTAACCGGTTAACCGACCGTAAGAATTTTGACTGATTCATACAATCAGTTAAACGGTTTAAAAAGTAATTTAATTATTTATTTTTTCTGTAATTTATCAAAATATTTAAAAAGGTTTGCTGCATGGTTAAAATGCGCTACTCGTATAAAAAAATTGTTTTTTTAGGGGGAAAAACATAAGTCGCGTATAAGTCGCATTTTATTGTTTCATTCAGAAATAGGCCTAATGCCGATGCAAAATGTTTACAAACATTATAATAAACACTGTAAACATAGCTAGGCTATTTTTGTTCCCCTCACTTCACAACAAATCCTTTTGATTTGCAGTATTTAGAAAAGAACAAGAATTAAAAATATAAGAAGGTATAGCAATATAAACGACAAGCCAAAACTAATTAATTTAGGCTAAAATGAAACTGAAACCAACGTTGGGCCTCTCATTCCACACAAAATCCAATGTTTCCGTATTCGCGAAGTATTTGAATGGCAAATTATTATTTATTATGTACTTCACTCGCGTTCCGATATCCACGTAAAACAAAATGTTTTGCATAACATCACGGCGTTGCGGTGATAACACTTTCACAGTGATATCTCTAATTTGATTGCTTTTTATCTGAATATATTTTAAAATGTAATTTATTCTTGTGATGCAAAGCTGAATTTTCAGCATCATTACGCCAGGCTTCAGTGTCACATGATTCTTCAGAAATCATTCTAATATGCTGATTTGCTGAAGATGAAAATTCAGAAAATTTAGCTTTGCCATCACAGGAATAAATTACTTTGGAAAATATATTTCACAATATTACTGTTTATACCGCGTTTTTGAAATTGACATTTTTTTCCAAATAAATTGCTTCTTTCAAAATCATAACAAAATTGTGATTATTCCAAACTTATGGCCACGTATGTGTATGTTTTATTTAAGTTTCATTTAAAGTAATTACAACTTGATCATCGTTTGTTTACATGTTCTTGACATCAAGTCCAGTTCCATTACCCAAAAATGTGTTATGTAATTCTGCATTATTTTGTAGGCTTATATGAACTACCGCAGGCAGAGCACAGAGGGATGGAGCATCGGGAATGTGCTGCTGGACTTCACAGGGGGCAGTTTCAGTTTACTTCAAATGTTCCTTCAGGCCTATAACAACGGTGAGACCACACAAACACTTTGCTATGCGCCAATGCTTTAAAGACATTAGAATGCACTCAAACATTTGTTTTAATTTGTGTGTTTCCTTGACAGATAAATGGATGTTTATATTTGGAGACCCCACAAAGTTTGGACTGGGTGTGCTGTCCATATTCTTCGATGTTGTGTTCATCGTACAGCATTATTGTCTGTATAGGAACCGAGAGCCAATGTATCATGATTTAGATGATCAGAATGACCAACACGCCAGTGTTAAAACATGACCACTGCAATATAAAGATTTCATATGGACTTTTATATCTTTTCATATCACTATCTAAAGTGTGTACCATGTATCAAAGGGAATTACAAATGTGTCTTACTTAAAAACATGTATTTTGGACGCAAATAAGCACTATCTTCATATGAATTAGTATGTATTTATTTTTCAAATTTCAGTAAATTGTTGCTATCTCAGGTAATTACTGAAGCTGGTACTGTAATGAAATGAATAATATAAGCAGGTTTGTGTGTTTTTAGTCCATATTTCACATGTTTTACACTGCATTCTGGTGGCCGTAAGATAAACTACACTGCATTCTGACCCGGTGGTACTACTTAATTCCCTGTATTTGTGGAAAACTAACGTATTTATTCTTCTCATGTTTAAAAAAAATAAAAAAATAAAAATAGCATTCTAATTATATAGTTCTATAATTCTAGTAAAATATCACAACGTTTTTACTCTTCGAGAACGCAACGCAGTCACTGTAGAGCGCAGAGGATTATGGTTAGACAGCGGAAGTAAGATGGCGGAGGTGACGGATGAGGGTAAGAGATGTTTGTGCATGAAATACCAGTAAAGCTCTTTTTAATTAAGTACAAACAATCATGTTATGATTTGTGAGACTGTCTGGAGCTGACAGAACGAGTGTTTGCTTATTTCAGTTGATTTAATTATGAAATGTTATCGTGGCATTTGAACGCACCGGCCTCAGTCAGAGACAGAACTAATGTTTACATACACTTGTCTATTTATACTCTCTCACAGAAGTGTGTTTATCATTTACAGACATATTTGTTATTCCTGCTGTCTTCATAAGCGCGTAGGCAGGTATTTCTGTCTATATGTTGGTGGGTTTCTGGTTATTTGTGGCAGGAATGTCAATTTTAACATTTAAACTGGTTTCGTTTTGAGTTAAAAGAGGTATTCTAATGTGTTCAGCTGTAATTTGTGCAGAATTGAGAATTGTGCACAAACCTTGCCAGAATTATTCACAAATAATGCTTTTTGTTTACTGAGGTGTATAAGCTCAGATCAACGAGACTTACGATCAATCAGTTCCGAAATAAAATACAAAACCTGTGCTAATTGAAAGAAAAAAGATTGTATCTAAGATTTGGTAATAATAAAGCGTAATGAAAGATTTACAAGCATTTTTTAAAAGGTTGGTAATTTTTGGCTGGGAACACCAAATTAGGTGCTTTAGTCTATGTGTATATTCTGTATAAAAATAAAATATGTATTTTTTAATTATAAAAGTTTATTTTTTAATTAATTAATTAATTAATTAAAATATACAAACTGTTGTGTTGTAGCCTTTTGAAGGCCAGTCATTTTTGACTGTGGACATCAAATTAGGCAAAGCTTTATATGTATAGTCTATATGTGTGTTTTCTATTAAAAATAACGATATATTTTTTATTATAAAAAATAATTACAAATTAAATAATTGTTTATTTTAACTAAATACATTTATTGTATATCCAAATATAAAACAATATAACAAAAAAAAAAATTTTCCAAACTCATATATTAACGTAACCTTTTTGGATATTTGGTTAAAAACAGCACCTAATGTTTAGGTTGTTTGTAAACATGCATACACAATGCATTTCTATTGTACTCAAAATGACCATAAATGTATCCTATGCAACTTTGTGTGAGAAACAACAATTTTAAGAAGTCATCATTAACTGAAAATCTTTCCCTCCAGTGAGCTGTAGACTGACAGGAGCATTGAATCAGTGAGTTAAACTTGAAAACTGATTCATTCAAGTCATACAAGCGTATAAACATGAGGTTTATTGAGTACATACAAATATTCCGTTTCAGAACTATCGCAGAACGGTTCCTTTAATGCAATGTTTGGGTTTGTAAATAGGTCGTTTTGGCTACTTCTTGTCAGGTCTTTTTTTATTTAACAAAATTCTTGTGCTTTTGCCACCATATTTTATTTAGAGTTTTCTCTCTGATGGTTGGAAACAGAAGATCTTGACTTCATCCTGCGGAGGATCAGACAGCAGCATGGCAGATGAGGACGGTGAGTTGTGTTGGCAAACGGATGAGGAGATGATCTCTTCTGCACTTCTTAAGTGATGTTATTGGGACATTCATCGGTAGATATTAAATGGTCTGCATTAGACATCAGAGATATTAACTAGCACATGTGTGGGGTGTAAGATTATAGATAGCCACACATCTCTGTAAGCCCAGGCTTCCTCGTGGTAACATAAAAATAGACACAAGGAAACGAAGACAGGAATGTTTTCATATTAAGTACACTGAATGATCAACACGTTGCTGAAAAATACATATATAATCTAATTTGCACAATCTTTCTTCTTTTTATCAGGTAAAAAGCCTTTTAGTATAATTGGAAAAACATGGGGATGTTTTTACAATTATATTAAAAGGCTTTTTTACCTGATAAAAAGAATTCAGCTTGTGGTCTTTTCGCTGTGAAATATTTACAGATTTTTATAAAGTTAACATAAGAATAACTAATGTTGTTAGTAACATTTCAAGAGGAACACTTACTGGACTGAATCAGCTTAGGTTTACTTTATTATACATACATTTTCTAGAAAAATCATTTTTTAAGTTATGAGTATCATATATGATCAATCAGGCTTTTGATGAATATTTATTTGTTCATGTCTCAATTTTTATTGTATTCCATTGCATTATATGTTTTGAAACTACAGAGCTTTGATCATAAAACTAAGCATGTCATCTTTCTTAGCCATATAAATATCGGCATCTGTACCGACTGATATACATATTTTTGCTCAGTTTGGGCCTCTGAATAAATTTGAGGTGTCTTTTCTTGGGTAATTCATATTCTACTGTATCATACTGCTGTATCATATAAGCCAGAAAAGACTGTTGTATCTAATATGGTACTCAACAAAAAGCACATGCACATTTTTTAAAGATTTTGTCTAAGGTTCAATAAATGGTTTCAGATTTCAAAAATGAGATTTCTTTCTATTATTTCATATTTCAAGTTTTACACGGTTAAACTAGCATCTAAGAAAAAGAAGCACCCGTTCAGAAAGTGCAAGCTCAAAACATTGTAAAACAAAAAGTAGCTTCAAACATGAATATATTGTGTATTTTATTTCCCTATAATTGGACATATAACAGCCTATCACTGGGCTACAGTTCACAGCAGTCTATTTAAATAAAATTATTATTTATTCCACAATTTAATTAATCGTACTCACATGTCAAATTGACAGCCCTAATACATATACAAATCACACTTTTGGTTCAAATAGACAGTTTTAATTATTAAAAACTGTTGTAATTATACTTCTCAGTTTTGAATGAATTCTAATATATTTTTAAATGATACTGTACATAGATGTATATAATCTGATGCATTTCTCACACTTTATCTGCTGTCTTGGATTTATTTTCTCTCTGTCAAGGATACATGAGATTCTTAGCTGTAGCATGTCCACTCAATGACACCAAATCTTGTTTTTCAACTTGCAGAGAAACCTGCCGTTGCTCCTCCAGTGTTTGTGTGTCAGAAAGATAAAGCACAAAAGGTAAGACCAGCACTTCACTTCTTACTGCATGACTCAGGTCACATCTGTTCGATACTGGCCTTAAAACACTGATTCTATCCTCAGAGGTCAGCAGAGGGATCCAGCTCAGAGGATGGAGAGGGTGAGCTTCAGTCTTTTTAGCAGTCAACCCAAAATATTACTGAAAGTATGAATTTCACAAATAAATGTTTGGGACATATTAGAATATAAAGGAACACTTGTGTCATAAAGAAAAAGAGACCTGGGTATTTATTTATTTTTTATTTTTATTTGTATAATTGCACAGTTAAGCACATAAAAATTTGTTTGATGATTTAATAAATTAAAAGTAATTACTTGCTAAAATTAAATGAAAAAATAAATAATAATGAATCTAATTCTATTACTACATTTAAGAAGGAAAGTGCTTATGTCATGAAAATGTTATTGTTAATGTTATTGAAAATGTTATTACAGATCATAGAAATCTTATAAACATGCCTCATTTTCTTTTTGAAAAATGTAATTAATTAAATTATTAATTTAGTCATTATTAATTAAGTAATTAATTAAGTAAATAATAAATGTAATTAATTTTCCTTTTGAATTTGGGGTGAAAAACATCTTTGAAATGTGCTTGACAGTTTTTGTGAGTTTCATATGTAAATTCTCTCTCTCGCTCTCTCTCTCTCTCTATATATATATACATATATATTATTTATTTTCTTTTTTTCTTCCCAGAAGAGAAAACTGTGGGGTTTCGCCTGAAACCCCCGACTCTAATCCATGGCCAGGCACCGAGCGCTGGTGAGTCAGTGTTCAAACATCTGCTGTTTTGAACCGTCTGTTGATTAATGTCCAGTTGTGGTGCTTTCGTAAGATTGTTTATTTACATGATTCCATAGACGGTCACCATTTGAACTTTCTGTGCCAGAGACCCTCAGAGGGCCTGAGAGATGTCTTTTGATTGATTCGTTTCAGGTGTCCCCAGCCCGAAACCCAAAGAAGCCCAGCGCAGCATCCTGCGACCTCCAGTGCTGCAGCCCCCTCCGGCTCGATCCCCCCCACAGAACGGTGAGTGCTAGGGTACACTAAGATGATGGTTCGGTATGTAAATCAGTTTTGAAGTCACAGTTTGGTATGTTTTCGGTACAGCAAGAGGGGAAAAAAACTAAACATAAAATTGCTTCTTTTTATTTTTTATTAAACTTGTTTACTGAACAAATTGTGGTTCTGTCTCTAAATAAAAATATCTTAAAGCTGCATTTAATTTCATTCACATGTGTTTCATAAACACATAATCCTTTCTGGATTACAATCCGCCACCTGCAGGATCCTCACATGCGATAGCCTAGTAGCCGGGACAACTTCTTTATGTTTACAGACGTGACGTAATGACGCAGTGCCATGCTCGAATTTCCCGCGAAAACCTACCCGTACCACTCAAATTAGAAAACATTATTTTAAGCTAACGGTTGTGAATCGGGCTAAAGTAAGGCGATAGTTTTGAACACTGGCTGGTTATGTACTTGCTCAAATATTGATTTCGGATCATTTTTAACCAAAAAAAGTTACGGACTGCAGCTTTAAGGATAATGATAAAGGATTAAGTTAATGTTATAAACTGTATAGGGAACCCAATTACTTGCACATTACTATAATATTAAAGTTTACAATTAACACCAGAGCCAAGACTATTACATTTAATTAATATTTGTTTTAAGATACAATAATCAGCACTCAAAAAAAAAAAAAAAATGTGTGTAAACATGTAAATTGCCAGTTTTTACATGAACTAATTATAAAATGATGTTTCTACTCCAATTCGTTCTTGAAATAGAATAATTTACACAGTGTCTGTCATAACTTGTTTTCATGACAGATTTATTTTATACATACATTACATAATCAAGACATCACTACCAGGTTAACATAACTATAGTGAATATATAGGCTAATATAGTGCATACATTTATGTTCATTTCTGTAGCGAACTAACCATCTGTGGGCACTGAATGGCTTGCCCGAGGCAATGCTATGTGACACATTGTTTACAAGCTGTTTTATCAATATCTTTCCATGGTTGAAACACTGATTGAGCTATTACATGAGACGTGATATGTTCATTCATGTCTATTTTGTGCTAGTAGTATAAAACTATAAAACTAAAACTCCGCTGCTGTTTTGCGATCAAAGAGCATCAGAACGGCATTTATTGTTTGAATTTCCTGATAAATTGGACAGAATTTGAAAGATGAAAAACACAAAGCTTATGGCAGTTATTGGACAGTAGATGAGCTGTATGTCCATTAAAGTTTTATTCATGCATCAACTGAAACAGCATAGACTAAACGATCGGTCTTGGGATTTAAGAATTTATATTGATTCATTAAAACGAAGACATATAAAACTTGGAGTTTCAAATAAAGTTCTTCATGTGCATTGTTTAAAACAATGCTACATTTGTTCCATACACATGCGCACCGAACCGAAAAATCTGTACTGAAAATATTCAGTATGAATACGTGTATCGTTACACCCATAGTGATTACATGATGAATATCAACTTAAACAGATCAGCTGAAGGAGAACCTGAACTAAAAGCTGTAGTCTGTTGTTTCAGCAGACTCGAGCGACAGCAGTTCAAACGGAGCGAAGAACCTCTCAGATGGAGGAGCAGAATGTGAACGTAACTCAGAGACGTCTGCTGCTGGCACACAGGATAATGACGTGTCACCGGTAAGACGTGACCGACAGCAACCCATGTCCTAGACAGCACTGTTATCTACTTGAATTTATTGTCACAAAAATCTCTTAAAGGGATAGTTCACCCAAAAATGAAAATTGTCATCTTTTACTCACCTTCAAGTTGTTCCAAACCTGTATGAGTTCTTATCTTTTTTTCTCTTTTCTTCTTCTGGACATACAAGAAGATATTTAGAACAATGTAGGCAACCAAACAGCTGCCCCCATCGAATAGTATGGAAAAATAATTGGTTACCCACTTTCTTCAAAATATCTTTTGTGTTCAGCAGAAGAAAGAAACTCTTACAGGAGTAAATGATGACAGAATTTTCATTTTTGGGTGTACTATCCCTTTAAGTGCACTTTGGGAGGAAATCAATTAACACTTTTTGTATTATTTTGCTTAAAAAGTGTATTTGTGCTATACTTTTTCATCAAATGCCACTTTGTTTGATATTTTGTTATATAACACAGAGATTCATCTTGAAGTGTGGCTTAAGTGTCTACATATTTTTCGGGGCCACTGTAATGTTTGCACTCAGTTTTTTTATGTTTGACAAATGTAAGCATGTTTGAACGCAGCATGGGCTATGGTCCAAAGGCCAGACAAGTCTAGTTTTATTTCACATGGCTGTGGCTTCCAGAAAATACTTTATCATCTTGTTCTGAATGTCTTCGTTTTGTTTGGCTGACCCCGTATTTCTAGTTGAAGCTCTTACACATAACTATAGCAAAGTGAACAGGATATGAGCAGCCTGGTCACACTTTTAAACTTAAATGACCTTTTGTTATTTCTTTTAAGGTAAAGAGCAACAGCACTTTTGGGCACAAAACAGAAGACAAAACTGAAGGTGCCCCAATTGAGAGCAGTTTTGTGTTTGGACAGAATATGAGGGACAGAGCAAAGGTTTGATTCATCTGCGTCCGATGTTCTGTGTGTGATTGTCTCATTCCGATTAGGGGCTGGGTTATACACTGAATATTTACTGTATAGTTCTTTTGCTGGCAATATAAAAATGAAGAAAGGATTTATTTAGTTTCCTAGTCTTTACTGTGAGTATGGAAGCATTCAGACAAATGTTTTCATAGCATCTCTTATTTAAACTTCAATAGGAAACTTTTTTAATTCATTTCATGAATAAGTTCAAACCATTCAAAACACTCTTCTTCGGTGTTTTGTTTGCATCATCAAAAGTCCCCTCATAATATGTATTAGATTTTAAAAAATAAATAAATGAAAAAACATTCATGTCATGTTAAAATTTGGGGTCAGTAAGTTTTTTTTTGTTATTTTTTTGAGAAGATAATCGTCTTATTCAACAGGAATGCATTAAATAAGTCAAAAGTCGCTTTAAAGATATTTAATACAAAGAATTCAGAAAAATGTCTCTATCACTATTTCCACAAGAATATTATGCAGCACAGCAAATCAGCAGCATATTAGAATGATTTCTGAAGGATCTTGTGACACTGAAGATTGGAGTAATTATGCTGAAAATTCAGCTTAGATCACAGGAATATTCAGTTAGAAAAAGTTATTTTAAATTGTAATAATATTTCACAATATTACTGTTTTCACTGTGTTTTTGGTCAAATAATTGCAGCCTTGGTGAGCAGAAGACTTACTCTATATTATTATGACGGTTCATATAGATGACAAATAATAATGAATTAATCACTTTTCATCATGTTATTTAAATAAAAAGCAGTTGGGAAGGAGATGCCTTGATGATTTTAATTGGTTTTAGTTTTTACATGATAAAAGTTTGATCTGTTTAGGTTACAGTAAGTGACAATACAGTTTGGTTGATGTGATTGGTTAATGCTGAAAACCACTAAATGACAAAAATAAACCATTTCAGTGCAAATATGTAGGAGATTTAAATTTATGATTATTTCATCCTCTTTAATGTATTTTAAACATAGGATATTTTAAAAAGATCAAGATATAATTTACCTGTTATCGCCCAGCCCTAATTCCTAATAATTCTTTATTAAGTTCTGACTTTATTTAGTAAAAATGGTTTCGCTTCTGTGTTGGTGTTTTGTCTTGTTGATTGAAAGTTTAATTGTATTTGCTGCAGGTGGCCAACAGCTGTGTCTCATCCGAAAGTGGCGATTCAGAGGAAACAAATTACTTTTTGCAGTATATCACTTCCAGGTACTGCAGCTGAAATGTTCATGTTAATTTTTAAAGACATTTTTACAGATCTCCTCAGGCAGAAACTTGTAACTTTTCTTGGCATCAATATTGTTTCTCGTAGTGCACAAAAACCTGACAGCAGCGATGCCAACAGCGTGAAGTTTGTCTTTGGGCAGAACATGTTGGATCGTGTCTTGGTAAAACAGTCAGTTCTGTTCTAAACCTTGATATGTTTGTCATGATTTGGCATGGTCAGGTTATCATAGATCACAGTTCCTGACATGTTTATGTATTGCACGCTTATAGGCACTGCCAAAATTCAGCACTGAACCTCCAGGGAGCAGCAAAGAGCCTCAGTCAGAGATGGGCCTGTTCAGCCAGATTTCCTCCTCACACGATCAAACCGTGGAGAAGAGTATGTGTTTTTTGTGACTTTTATTTTTTTTAGTCTTAAAAGCAAAAAAAAAGTGGCAGGATGTTAATAAAATAGCACAGTATGCTTAACTTAGCCACTAAAAACATGCATACATATATATGTTTAAATGTGCTGTAGGTGACAACATGAAAGAGTCTCTGGAGGAGTCGGCGGCGCGACACGAAGCACACAAACCACAGAAGTGTTTATTAGAGCAGGTGGAGGTCAGGACAGGAGAGGAGTCTGAGAGCAATGTGCTGCAGGTGAGAGCAGCTCACACATCTGATCCATACAGGCGAGCTTCAGAAACACATGAGAAGATGAGGCTCTTTCCCGTGTGTTTTCAGATGCAGTGTAAGTTGTTTGTGTTTGAGATGACGTCTCAGTCATGGGTGGAGAGAGGATGTGGAGTGCTCAGGCTCAATGACATGGCGTCCGCTGATGACGGCACCTTACAGTCCAGACTGGGTAATGCACTGCCAAGGTTATCAAAGGCCTTGGTCGTTTATCCTTCACACTTCAATATTTTACTGTGAATTTGAATAGAATAGAGTGATTAGAGTTTTGATAGTGGCCAGTGCCCAAGTGGCCAGTCATTGATATTAAAGGGAATAGTTCACCCCCAAAGTGAAATTTTTGTCATCATTTAATCATAATGTAATTCCAAGATTTTTTTTTCTTTTTCTGTGAAACAAACAAAAAAAGAGCACATGCAGAATGTCGGCTCAAAACGGGAACAAAAAAATATCAACATAGAAATGGTCCATATAACTTTCACATCTTCTGAAGTCATATAATATACACTAGCGTTAATGCTCACCAGGGCTGCATTTATTTGATCAAAAACACAATAAAACCAGTAATATTGTGGAATATTACAATTTAATGGAACTGTTTTCTATTTGAATATACTTTAAAATGTAATGATGAAAAGAAAGTTCAAAAGAACAGCATTTATTTGAAATAGGAATCATTTGTAACATTATGATTGTCTATACTGTTACTTTTGATCAGTCCAATAATATTTGCTGAATAAAATATTTCTTTCTTAAAAACTCATTCTGACCATTTGAATGTGACTGTGTTTTTGTTTATATGGAAAACAGAAGCTTCAAATTTCTGCTTAAACATTTCTTTGAATTTGATGAAAAAAGAAGAGTCACGTGAGTTTGAATTGAACTGATGGAGAGTAAATGTTGACTACATAGTTGGGATCGGATGAACTATTACTTCAAGACTATTTAAAGTGAGCCAATGAGATGCACAACAGCTCAGATTTACTGGATGCTTGTTTTACGCAATGTTTATACAAAACTCATTAAAAACAGCACATTTTCATTAAGACGAGGCCACTTGCAGATTTTGTTACCGACACAAGGGGGTGCTTATACTTCTGTTTTATCTGCCTTGAGTGCTCAAGTTAGTGGCTGATGCTAGCAATCTCAAAATGGACAAATAGTGGTCAGTTCATTGATTTTTCCTATATGTCAGCCTGTATTACTAGCAAAAAATGACTTTTTTAGTCACTTGTTTAGAAAAGAAAAATCTGCAGTGTTCTTGTTTACTGATAGCTGATCACAGTGTTTGTTTTTGGCTTGCAGTCATGCGGACTCAGGGAAGTCTTCGAGTGATCCTCAACACTAAGCTTTGGCCTCAGATGCAAGTGGATAAAGCCAGTGAGAAGAGTCTCAGAATAACAGCCATGGACACAGAGGAGCAGGGCGTCAAAGTCTTCCTCATATCTGTGAGAATGCACCGAATGATTATATCATCCCAGCTGATTTGAGTCAGTCAGTGTTGTGCTGCTGGTCTCATGTGGTCTCATCTCATCTCATCTCTCAGTCCAGCTCTAAGGACGGTGCGCAGCTCTTTGCAGCCCTGCACCATCGTATCCTGGCGCTGCGGAGCATCAGCGGACAGGAGTCTGACGGCCAGCCGGCCATCCGCTTCAGCGACGACGACGAGTCCCGCACGCCCCCCACAGCAGCCACGCCTGCTCCAGGTAATATTTCATATTGGTATCAAGTTTATGGTTGTGGTATCAAGTTTATGGTTATTATCTGCACTTGTAAGATGCAAATCAAAAATATTTTTGTTGACATGATATTATCAGGAACTGTTTTATAGCAGCCACTCTTAACTGATTTGGTTCATGTTCAGGATTCACAAATCCAGCATTTTTTGTCTTACAAAACAAATATTTTATTTAAATTAAATTTAAAATGTATTCATATTACATATAAATATATAAATATTCATATAAAAAAAAAAAATATATATATAAAGAGAGAGAGATAGATAGATAGATAGATATTTATTATTTTTTATGTAATTATTCTTTTGAAAATTCAGTAATTTGTTGTCCACTATTGTTAATTTATTTAACAATACATTAAAAATGCAATTGCATGACTTCAATACATCTTTTCAATAATATGCATATTTAAAAAAAAAAACACTTGTCCCTTTTAGACTTGCACTCTATTCATTTGCTGCTTGTTTTCTTAAAAAAATAAAAAAATAAAAATAAACTAACATTTGCTTTCTAATCTTTTTGTATTCTATCTGTTTTCTTTTAATTTATTATACAATTAACAAAAGCAAAAAAGACCTCTAACACTAGCTTGCTCTTCTTTTTCTATTCTATCTGTTTTCTTTTTATTTACTATATTATTTAAAAAACCCTTGCTATGTGTACTGTGTTAAGCTAACTGAGACTTGTTATAACACTTGTATATCATTGCTCTTTTGTTGATTTTGATTGCTTCCACTGTCCTCATTTGTAAGTCGCTTTAGATAAAAGCGTCTGCTAAATGACTAAATGTAAATGTAATTTAATTAAATTTGATTTTTGATGTTTTTGGGTGGCGTAAATTCAAAAACAACCAGGAAATACTGATATCATGATAAAGAAAATAAGCCTCATTAAAAGAATTAAATGTCTAGTAATTTGACAATCTTTTATTTTTGTCTCTCTATTTTTATGAGTAAAAATTATTGATAATGATTAATAATATATATATTTTTTTATGGAAAAGTCATGGAAATTTTTACAGTCCTTAAATGGAAACTTGCAAATGTTATAGAAGTTTTGAAAACCACATGAACCCATCATGAATCAAAGATTAAATTCAAGAACGTGACACGTGTTTTAAACCAGATTTTTAAGTAGAGTTTTAATCTCTCCTTTTATATATATCTCCTTATATATATATGTGTGTGTGTGTGTGCATATATTTGTATTTATTTATTTTTTGTGTTTGTTATAATCTGTGCTTTGCTCATTTAAACCTTTTTTTTTTTTTTCAGGTAATCCAGAGGCAGGTGTGTGTCCATCCACAGGTGACACATAGTGCTGAGCCTGCTGCTGATATTCATCCCACAATGCCTCACTGCAGCCCTCTGATCCCCTCAAATACTATGCAGGTGTTTTTTCTCCAAACTCCTTAAGGTGTACTGTAGTCATGTGTTCAGCTGGTTTTATTTATTGCATTGTAACAGCAAAAAAGCTCATCTTCAGGACTGGACGCATAACACTTTCAATGTCATCATATTGATGAAAATGAGAGGCTCTTAGTGTTTTAGTAAACCGATTTTCCATTCTAAATGTGAGACTTAATTACTCGCACAGAGTTAACAGAAACCAAACACGGATGTTTGTTGTCCCATCTCATCTTCCATCACAGTTCTGCTCAGTTTCAGCTGTGTTGTTAAAATCATCCGTCACTTTCTCACTTTAGATCTCAGAATGACTTCAGATGAGTCCTGGGATGTGTAAGCGGCGTTTAATGTACTCGTATAGTGCTGTAGAACAGTACAATATTAAAAGAGAGCTGATCGTCCATGTGACTGCTCTTATATCAATTTTTCTAAACATTTCAGAATCAGAAACTTTCACACTGCAGCTTTAAGTGGACCTCATTTATTATATTATGCATATTATATCAAATTTGTTTAGTCTCTTTACTTAAAGGAAAAGTTCACCTATAAATGAAAATTCTGTTCTGACAGAAGATATTTTTGAGGATTCTGGGTTTGGATGCGTAAACAGTGAAATGTTTCAGCTTTTACATATCATTGCAGTGAGGTTGACCATTGTACAAATACTTACTGTAAATTATTCTCCAGTTTCAATGCAATAGTACCTTTTCACACAGTATATTTTTATGAATATGTCCTGTAAATCAAGTTAGTACTGTACATAGTTTAGGATCAAAAGTTTTATAGCAAAATGTCTTATTAAGGACATTAATTACTATCATAAAATGGGTTCTCTATTGTCTGTTACTACCGTAATACTATATACAGTGGTTTTCACCTAAATATTTTGTTTATTGAGGAGTTTTTTGTCGTTAGATTAGTGAAAGATTCTGTGCCCTGTTTCTCTTATTTAACAGATATTTTGTTTAAAAGTTGCACAGCATATTTTACGTTTTGTGATTGCGCAGCTGTAGAACTGGCCTGTTGGGGTGAATCTCACAGAATCTGTCAGGGTTGTATTTCACACTAAAATAAGATCATTAAAGGAATGGTTCAACCAAAAATGAAACTTTGCTGAAAATGTCCTCACCCTCAGGCCACCCGAAATGTAGATGAGGTTGTTTCTTCATGGGAACAGATTTGGAGAAATGTAGCATTCCATCACTTGCTCACCAATGGATGCTCTGCAGTGAATGGGTGCCGTCAGAATGAGAGTCCAAACAGCTGATAAAAACATCACCATAATCCACAAGTAATCCACACCACTCCAGTCCATCAGTTAACATTTCGTAAAGTGAAAAGCTGCATGTTTGTAAGAAGCAAATCCTTCATTAAGACATTTTTAACTTCATGTCCATTGCTTTCTCCAGTTAAAAAGTTGTCTCGTCTGAATCATGAGAGACGTATGCACAGATTTAAAGCACTGTTTATAAAGGCAAAAACAATCCAAAACAGTTCTAATCAAATCTGTCAGTGTATTTTGGTGTGAAGACACGGATGGAGTCCATTTTTATTATGGATTATGAAATCATATTTTGGCCAGAAGGGACAGTTTAAAGTTAAAATGCCTTGATGGATTGATGGATTTGTTTCTTACTAACATGCAGTTTTTTGCTTCACAAGACATTAACTGATGGACTGGAGTGATGTGGATTACTTGATCATTGTGATGTTTTTATCAGCTGTTTGGACTCATTCTGACGGCACCCATTCACTGCAGAGCATCCATTGCTAAGCAAGTGTTGTAATGATACATTTCTCCAAGTTAAGAAGGGTGAGTAATTTTTAATGTGTGTGTGTGTGTGTGTGTGTGAACTATTCCTTTAAGATGGTTTGCATTGTGATCTTATTTTTCTAGATAACTTTTTATCCAACCTTAATTTTCAGCCTACTTTAGTATGAAAAAAATGCATCCTAATTATTGTAATGTAAAAATAAATTAAATTGAGTAAATCATGGTAGTATTTGTTGTACTGCTTAATGTTTGTTAATTTGATTGAAAAAAGCCATTGTGGCCAGACAGGATGTTTTTAATCCGTTTTATGTCATAATTGTCAATTTATTAAAATAATGCCACAATACAAAACATATCAGCAGACTTAAATTAGGCTTAATTTGTATTATGTTACATATACAATTCGATCATATATTCAATTATATTACAATAATTTTAATAAATAATTATTTTGATCAATAGTTCATAAATTTGATTCATTAATCAATAGTTAATTTGATTTTGGAGTGATTTTTTGTGAGATTTTCTGTTTTATACAGTTTAAAGAATTTTTAAGAAGCAAAACCTGATTCATCTTAAGTTATAGAAGACCGTTTGTCAGCTAGTGTGGGTCATTACAAATTATTGTAATATAATTATTTATATTGTAATATAATTACAAATTATGTATTCATATTGTAATATAATTACAAATTATTGTAATATAATTGAATAATATAGTTAATATTAGGGCTGGGTATCGATTCAGATGTTCCAATTCGATTCGATTTCGATTTTCTATTCGATTTCGATTTTCGATTCGATATATAAGGGGGTTACATCTAGTGAGACAGACTAGTAATAAGATTAACGTAAATCTTATGTTCAATGTTTGCGGAAATAAATATAGAAAAAAATCGATTCGTGGCCTTTGAGAATCGATATTGAATCGAACACATTTTAAAAAACGATATATCGAAAAATCGATTTTTTTTTTTGCCCAGCCCTAGTTAATATAATTGAATAAAATATGCAGTTATATTACAATAATTTTAATAAATGATGTTTTTAACCTACAGTAGATACATTTTTTTATGAGATTTGCCCTTTTATACAGTTTCTTGAAGAAACAGAACCTGCTTGATTTTAAGTTCTAAAGGCAGTTTGTCAGCTAGTGTGGGCCAGATATCACTCATGAGACACATTACTGCCAAACAACAAGCAGAAACCTGTGACTCTCACACAATGTAGTTAAAGAAGGGCCTTTCCCACTCTGCTGCTGAATATCCTCAATACACTGCCAGTGATAGGTACTCAAGTGTAGCATATTCACAAAATGTGAAACTAGAAAACAATGTATGGTACATTGACTGTTTCTGTCCACACATGCTGTAATGTGTCTGAAGCAGATGCTCCATCCATTGCTCCATCCTGCCATTCACAAACATACAGTTGAAGAGCAGCATGTGTAGCGACTGACCATGTGAAAAAAACTAAAGAAAGTGATGAGATTATCATTCTTCAGTCAGTTTCAGTTTCACAGAAATGTGTTCAGACGAGAACAGGTTACATTTAGTCATTTTACAGTAGGATATTTTTTATTTCAATTCAAATATTGTTAAAAATAAAACGAGAGCTATGTAGATATGTTGGTCAATATACTAAATTAGCCTTTGTTACAAATTTAGTGAGCTAAAAAATATTTTTTGTCCTGTTTGCAGAGGTTTTAGTGTTTATACCAACTATAGCACTTAATAGTTGTTTTGTGTTCATATTTGTGTTGTACCTGCTTTCTGTTTAACATTACATTCTGTTGTTTCGCTTCAGAATGAATGTGTTTCCATAGAGTTAGATGTTTCCCATCAATATGAAAGCACTAGCAGAGCTAAGGGTTTACAAAACAGATGCAAGTTGATTGCTGTAAATGTCTGTAAATGTTTACATTCAGTGTGTTGCCGCAGATGTACTTTAGGACACACTCCTTTTTTTCTTTTTTTGGGTTGATTTGTGTAGACCACAGATAGACTGTGAATGCGCCGGTGCTATTTCTGGTCCAGACTAGCTCAACTGCACTGGTCTTGTGGTTTAAATATACAATTTTGCTCTGGTGGAAGCGTTTAGAGATCATTTAGAAGGGCTAGGCTGCTTCTGGACTGTTGATTTCACTGGAATAATTACGTCTCTTTGTTAACCATGATGTTGAAACATGTAATGGTGGTCAAATGTGGATATATATTTGGTCTGTTCTGTTTTCCATTGACCATGTGACAAGTTATAAAACCCTGGAATATGCAAATAATTTTGTCATTTCATTTTTTTCCTGTTTTTCATTTTCATTCATTATTCATCCAGCATCTTTTTTCCCCTCACTGGAAGACTTTGTGTTCATGTTTGCAATTAAAATTATTCAGACCATTTCACTATTCCACCTATACACGTCTGCTGATTCTGCATTATGAAATATGATGCTGTTTCTAAGTCACATCATTCTGCCACTTGGAAACCTGTACCGCCTTTGATTCTCTAGAAGTTTCTTCTTCCATTGTCTGCACTCTGTATGCTGTGTATGATTGTTTCTCAATTGTCAATATTTTGTTCTAAACTGTTTTTGCTGTTCAGGTAGCAGTTTATTGAAAAGTGGACATCAGTAATCAGTAAACAGTCACACAGTACGGTCATGAAAACTGTTATACAAAAATTGGCTCTGTGGGGTAAATTGATCATTTTCCCTTTTGACTCATGATTTCAATGGAAGGCCTAGTCTGGCCAACAACATGCTATTTTCTTCATAAGGTTAACCTCAAATGTGGAAAAAATAAAAAAATAAAAAAATAATTTTTTATATATATATATTTTTCATTAAAATAAGATATATATAACATTGGTGGTCAGTTAAAATGTCCATCACAGAAGAAGATAGCATACATGATGGTCACATGGTGATGTGATGAACCTTTTTTAGAGGTTGTTCTTTTTAGTGACATAGTTGATGAATTTCATGGACAAAATATATAAAATATAATATTAAACTATACTACAATAAAATATTTTCTGAAAGAAAATTAAATTTAAACTCATTTTTAAAAATATTTTTCTGAAGTATTTTTATATTTGTTTTGATTTTATATTCATAGGACAGGACATCATAACAACATATAGGAGGACAATGTGATTATGTCAAGTGTGGGTGCTTGGTTGTTTTGTGCATGTGTTTATCTCCATCTTGTATGTATCTTATATATGTAAGTATATAAAGCAGAGCATTTAAAGGAGAGGAGAAATGGAATACACACACACACACACACACACACTTGCATACATAAACTTATACAGGGAAAAGAAAAAATACATAAAAAGTAGTTTTTATTTTATTAATGCATTTAATATGAATAATGTTGAATGTAACATTTAAATTATTATTATCATTATCTTAAATTATAGACCCACTCAATTAAAAAAAATTAAAGTAGGCTGTTACGGGGCTTTAATCAAAGTAGTTTCACGTGAACTGAAACAGGCTGCACAAACTAGCCTATATAAACTATATATATATATATATATATATATATACACACACACATATATATATATATATATATATAAACAATAAAATATGATTTTTCCGAAGTAAATTGTTAAAAAACAATATATAATTGTCAACAGTGGACATGAAATGTACCTTATAAAATGACACAAATACATGGAGATTTAAGCTACAGTATATAAAGATGTCGGGTCGGATTTCGCGGGTAATGTCAACTTTACGTCATTCGTCTTTGCGTGGTTATGTCACGTTCGTAAACAGAGAAGAAGGTCCGTCCGACTATTACAGCGCATGTTCAGTGAGGTGGGAGGTGTGTTTGTTCTGACAGGTTTTTTTTTCTCCATAACCAATGAGCAGAGTTGTTATCTTATCAGTGAATTGTTTAAAAGTTTACAAGCAAAGAGGAAGGTGACAGAGCCAAACCGACCTAGAGATGGACTCTTTCTTGCTCGACAGGTAAGATAGGCCTATATGGACATTTTTTTTCCCCGTTAGGGCTAAATCTCTTTATCGTCATTTTATTTTAGATTTTGGCGTTATTATTGGCTCCAAAAGTCGCTTATCTGTAACAATGGGTGAACAGATACTCGTCAAACCAGCATTTTAATTCTCGCGGAAGAGCTAAACCGAAGCCCAACTCACCTAATAACCAAAATTAGTTTTAGGAGTCAACCGCTACAGCTCCTACAGAGAGAAAAAAAAAAGTAATTATAATTTTGATTTGAGTTTGAATTATTTCGGAATTTTACCTGAATATTTTCTTAAAGCTTACAGTTAAAATGCAGTATTAATATTGGTAAATTTTAAGTCATTTTCACTAAGGAATGGCGCCAATAGAGTTTGTAGGAAATAAACAATTAAGTTCGCGTAGTGATCTGAAAGCGCTGCGAATAACAGAAAATATCAGACCGCTTGATGGCGCAATTTACTAATTAAAACCGAGTATTCTAAAGAGCCATGTAATTAAATCTGTCATGGGATATTTGATTACAGTCTATAATTTCACTTTGGTAATGAGCGAATATGAGTAGGCGGAGGTCACTTTGTGGTCTGTAGGCTACATGCAAGTTCAAATCCACTGTTTTCTTCCATTCTCTCACGTTTTAAAGGGGTCATATGATGCTTTTTTAAAGATCATTATTTTGTGTATTTGGTGTAACAGAATATGTTGACATGCTTTAATGTTCAAAAAACACATTATTTTTAAAATACTGTACATTATTGTAGGTCCTCTATGCCCCGCCTCTCTCAAACGCTTCGTAGCCGTTTTAGGGGGGCGTGGCAGAGTCTTAACTTTGATAAAGAATATCTCTTTGGTTTTGAGACTTTAGTCTTTGCAACTTCAGGGATCTTATCTATGCACAATCAGCTTGTAACACTGCAAAGAGAAAGGAAAACTTGAAATCGCATCATATGACCCCTTTAATGGTTTAAAGGTCAAAGCCATTTTGAGCAAGTTATTTTAACTAATGGATGTTTGGAACCCTTTTTGTAAGCTAATTATAGCTTCATTCATACTATAACTAAATGGTTAAGAAACACAAGCATCTATTTGACAGTTGGCTTTGTTGGCTAACACAAATAGCCAACAGAATAACAACAGATATTGACTGAATTCTGTTATTCTGACAAACTACAGGTTAAGTGAAGGGATTTAAACGTTTAAGCACTCTCAATTTTCTACATTGAGATCTCATATTTTTACTTTACTGCTCATATAGTTCATATGGTGGATCTAAATAATTGGACAATTCTGGACACACACACACTCAAAAGAATGGATCAAAATTTCACACAAACTGGTTATCAACCATATGATATGTGCAAACATGATGCAATGCAGCAATCCCAAAGTGGTTTTCAATGGATGTATGAAGACAGTTCCCCTGTAAATTCAAACAGGTGTTCTATCAGAGATTATTAATGCATGTTTTACAAGAAAATACTATTTCAGTCTTTCTACTTCAAAATTTTGTTTCATTCAACGCATTATGCCATTTCATGCCGTTTCTCTTTGTAATTTGTGAAATTAACCTAATTCCTGAGTGAAAATTATTTCTACACCAAATTGTTTTCAGTGCATGAACATATTCCACTAAATTTTGACAACCAAATATACAGTTTGTTTTCATTTTGAATCTATTGTGCATCTTTTTGTGAAATGTTTTGTTTAAAAACCATGTTTGTGTTATCTTTATTTACATTTTTCAGACTTTGTCTTTATTGTCTTTATTTAGACATTAAGTGTGGTTTAATTGTCCACATATTTCTGGGGGCAGTGCATATTTTAATATTTTTAAAATTAGAGTCATTTACCATTAATATTAAACATTTAAAATCACGATGAAGTAAAAATGTTCATGTTTTTAGTTTTTAATGGAATGTTGCAGTGTTTATTATAAATTATTTTTTCTGAGAAATGAAATCTCCTCTATATATTGGCTCAAGGGCTGGGTTCCCCTCTAACCTGTCACTCACATGAAACAAGTGCAGCAATTAGCCAGCACTTTCTACAATCCAATCAATTCAGTCCAGTTTTTTCTTGTACAATAAGCCATTTCACTCTGATACAATGTTGACTTTGAGGTAACATGTTACATCTGTTCATTTTAAATCCTCTGTTGTTTAACTCCTTGATTATAATAAATTTGAAGCACTAAATGGGGAACTAAAACAAAAGATCAGTTCAATTCTGTCATGAAGGCAAAGAAGCAGTGAGTGGAACTTGGAAATTTATTTGCAGCTGTAGATTTCAATTACAGTACATATCTTTAAAGGCCGTTTTCTTAAAACAAGTTTTTTTTTCTCCTGCTCTGAGTTAGAAATCTGAAGCAGCACTTGCATACACCAGACTTGACAGTTTGATTCCTATCTATATTCTGAAGGTTTTTACAGAGGGGTTTTCTACAACATTTTAATCCTAAATAAATGCTGATTTTTTTTTTTTTTGGAGGTTGATAGAAGTTTCTGAATTATAGCGTGAATCCAAAATCCCCTCTGTAAAAACCTCTGACTAATATGTCAACAAAATGAAACAAGAATTTTGAAGCCGACTTCATCCAATGTTCTGATTTTTGTTCTAGAAATGTATGCAAATTGGTGCATATTTAATTAGACGATGCCTCATTTGTGTATTTAAACAAGGGTGTAGGTTTGATTTTGGCATTGGTGGGGACATAGCAGCAGACAACAGACGTTTAATTGTTTGATCAAAATTATTGCTTGGAGCAATTTAGTAGATATTGGTAGGGACATGTCATAGCATCCCTACTAAATTCTACACCCTTGTATTTAAACAAAATATTTCACTACACGTTACTGGACTGGACACTTGTGAACTTACTAACTTCACACATCCACCTTGACCCCAATCAAACCTGGTTTAATATTTTCTTATTTAGTGCAACAATGTCTTTTTAAAAACAGGATAACGACCAAATACCATTTCTTTCTGAAAATTAGGGCTGCATGATAAATCGAAATCGCGATTCGACAGAAGCTGCGATTGTCATGCGTATCTTTCAGTGAAGCACGGTTCTGTGATCAGCAGTAAATCTCCATCCAAAGGCCAGAGGGCGCTCTCGCGCTGAAACTCCAAATACGCCTCGCAGAAGAAACCCAGGAAATGCCTATTGCTGTAGCTGGATAAACAGAAGATTTAACTGCTTTTATTGATTCAACGTGACTACTAAACAGACGATTATGACAATATATGGTTTATCGGAGTTTACTGCTGAATACAGAACCGGCATTACTAACAAAATGCGCATGACAAACGCATTCGATTAATCGTGCAGCCCTACTGAAAATAACAATGTAGTGACTGAAATCATGTACAATACTAGCAGAAAGTAAACAAAGAGGAATTATCCTGAACTGCTTGGTTTGATATGTGAAATCATCTTTGTGCTTCTCCACTGGGGCGTTTCTGTAATTTTCCACAGCACTTGAACTCGTCACTCATTCTGGACCGCTTCAGTTGAGTTTATTTTAACAGTGAGGGTGTGATGTGTCAGCTTTGGTGGGCTGTGAGGTCTGCTATCGGCCAGGAACATCCTTGCATGCGTGAGGCCATGAATGCATGCAGCATTTCAGATGAAATGTGACGAACACTTTCCAAGAATCCTTTCAGAAGAAATAAAAGCATCTCCTGTTAACAGCTTCAGGACAATAAACATCAGAGTTCTAAGTGCAGAAAAGCAAATTCTTCATAAATATACAACATATCACAAAATTCCATGTCTATTTCATGTGCTGAGTTTAACGTTAACACATTTTTAAATTCATGTTGTTTTTTATTACTGTGTTACTGACATTAACAGGGTTTCTGCGGGTCTTAAAACAGTCTTACACAGTCTTAACTCGCCCTTCCACAAATTAAGGCCTTAAAAAGATCTTAAATCTGAGAAGAAAGTCTCAAAGTCATGGCATATGTTGCATGCATTGCTAAAATGTTTTCAAATACAAATATCCTTAAATACATGAGATGCAAAATTAAGATATGAAGTGTTAATTTAAATCTCAAAAAGAAGGGATTTTATGTTCAAAACCATTACAAATATCTGTTAATGGGAATGAAAACTTGTTTTCGCTTTGAATTAAGTATTTTTTTCTGAGCCCATTGGCAGGTTTTTTTTTTTTTGTAATCTTCATTTTGATCAGTTTCACAGAAAACAAGACTTCTCTTATGTCATATTGCTTGTCACATAAATGTATCTTGATTTAGGAATCTTTAGACATTTGCATGGGAAAGTTGTTTCCATATGGTTTGGAGCAGAGCTATTCAAACCTTAAGCTGTTTTTGTCAAATTAATTCATGGAAATAGGTTAGAAGTTGTAGTTGCTAATACAAGTCATCGTGTTTTCTTTAGTTGGTCTTAAAAAGGTCCTAAGTAGTCTTAAATGTCCTTAAAACCTACAGAAACCCAATGACCCTTTAAAACATTTCTTCTTTTTGTGCCACAAAAACATGACTTCACAGATGTGAATTTCAAGCACCTTATTTTTTGTTCTTCCAGACACAATAAGCTGGTTGAAGCCTCAGTGCCACATATTGCTTCTGTCCAAATGTTTATGGCTACAGATCGTTGAAACGTACGTTTGTATACATGGACATAATCATACTCGCTGAGTGTAATGAGTATGTGTGCAGCATCTCTCAGCACTGATTGCGGGTTTCCTCACTGTTCCCTTTCAAAACAAATGTGGTCAACCACAGAAAATGTTCCCTGGATGAATCCCTGACAGCGATGATGATAATTACCCTCTCCATTAGCATGCATGTGGTGGAACTGGTGGAATCTGTTCAATTTTCACATCGTTTTATTTATTCGTTTTGGATTCTTATTATGTGGACTGTTCTCTACTGAATCATATAAATGGAGTATATTTCGCTGTAATTTAAATAAATCTCTATTTTAAATAAATCCCTAATCTCGTTATTATTCTCAGCTCTG